AGAGAGTTTCCAAAGTGTGGTCCAGAGATTTAAAAAAAAAAAAAAGTTTTAAACCATGAAAATCTTCACAGCCTGACCTCCATTTTACTGCTCTCTTTGGAGCTAGCTCTAGGCTAGCTCCAAACCATCCAACTAATTTGATTCAAGCAGCAGGTGTTTGACTGTTAAATAAACCATTGTAGTAATTCACAGTAGTACTATATCACAGCAGAGTACTTTGTGTTCTGGCTGCAGTTATTGTTAGTTTTTAAAAACATATTTTTCTTACCTTTCCTGGAGACTTTAATTCAGGAGCTTTGTTTCAGGAACAGGAAGTGGCAAACCATAGCCCCGCCCACTTTGAGACCTTATATAACAACTGTCTGTGGGGGCACTGTGCCATGAGGAAAATGGCGGGGGTGGAGGGGAGGGGTGGGGGGTCAGGAGTACATTTTCAAATAAAATCTTTGTTCAAATTTGATTGTTACAGCTTTTTTTTTAATTCATGTGTGATATTTTCAATTGCTGTTGCCTTCAATGACCAGCACAGAACTTTTTTAATTTTTTTTTTAAACAGGCAAAACTAAAGCCTACCCCTGGGGGTCCTAATGTCACTGTGTCAAAGCACTGTTTAAAGTTTCAAAGTTACCTTTAATTCTTTATTCTGCTTCATCGGTTCATCAGTTCAATAGTCTAGTGGTTAGCACGCCTGACTTGGGAACAGCGAGCACTTGGTCCTGGGTTCGACTCCCAAAGAACTATTCTTTATAATTTTTTTTAAATTTGTTTATTTTTAAAATTAATATTTATTTATGATTTATTATAATTTCCTAAATATGGGATGCGATAAAGTTCAACAAAATTCATGAAAACATTTCTGAAAAGATCTAAAGTTTTTTCCCCCCTAATTTAAATAATGTATTTTTGTTAATATTTATATAATAAATATTCAGGCTGTGAGTTGTAGTCACTACAGTGAAGAGGAAAACAAGTGGAAACGACAGAGTTTTCACAGAGAAGAACTTTAATTAAATATAGTGAAGAGTCGAAAAAGTTACTTTACACTTCAAAGTTCAAAATAATAATAATAATAATAATTATAAAAAAATCAACATTATCATCTTTACAGTAGTTTCCTCTGACTCCTGTCCCTTCACGCTGACGACCACCTCTGACCCCAGACCAGCGTCCAGAACTGGTTCAACTGCTGCTGGTCAAGTGCTTCACTGTACGTCACCATCGACCAAAACTTCCTTCATTCCTGTACAGCCATTACAACTATGTACTATGTAAAAAAAAAAAAAAAAACGACTTTTCTCAGAAAAAAAAATATATTGACACACGCATTCTGACAGACCCAGGTTTGAGATCAAATAAATAGATAGGCTCATTTCTTAAAACGGGGAAAAATCTACAGAATCAGAAGAAAGAGAAAATAAAAGAAAAAGGCTGTAGGAGAAAACTGATTTTCCTTCATTCGTCAAACTGTTACAGTCCATAAAACAAACAAAGATCCGACCGATGAAGATGAAAACGCTACGTGTTGATAACGCAGTTCACGACAACAAAACTGAGACTTAACTTCAAAAGGAGAACGATGGCATCTTTACATTTAGGTGAAATGGCTTTGAATAAACAGAATTTTAGTATAGTTTAGTAAAATGATACGAAATTAAAAAAACTGGACTTACAGAATATTGGACGTGTACTTCTGGTCTTTGGCCAAATGTTTTTTAACAAAGTTTTGAATTTGACACAGAACTTTACTTCTCAAAAGGACTGATGGGAAAAATCTGACGCTCAGTGGAAACTGGTGTTATTTTCCGCACTAATCAGAAATCTGTTTCATATGCAGTACCACCTCTGGCCAGTGGGGGCTAGATCTCAGTCATGTCCTATTTCAGTTTTAACTTCCGCTACTTTCCAAAAATTTAAACCTCAAACACATGAGATTTTAGTGATGTTCCATTCTCAATTATTTAAACAATAATTAACTTTAAAATAAATTATCAACTTTTTTTTTCCCCTTCTTTTTTTTTTTACCAAAAACAGAGCTAACAAAGTGATGCAGCCCGGACCGAGGGGGGAGAGCTTTCATCATCATCATCATCATCATCATCATCATCATCATCATCATCATCATCATCATCATCATTTTTGTAAAGAGGTAAGACTTGTCAGTACAGCTGAAAACTGTGGTTTAAGACTTTTTAGGCATCAACAACTCAAACGAGGGTTTTGGCAAAAATCAAAATGAAAAGAACAGAAAAAAACAAATCAACGGTGAATTTCATTTGTTAAGACTGTTGAATCACACAAACTGAGGGCCGAAGAAGCAGTGACGCTCACGAAAAAAATAAAAAATAAAAATACGTCAGGGAGTTTCAACACGCTGCAGATTTAAGACATGTCACTGGCAACGAGTTCTGTGCTGCAAAAACTGTCAGTGTGTCAGATTTGGAGATAAATCTGTGTGGGAAAAAGTTCGCAGAAATGGGATGTAAATATGATTTAAGAGTCAGTGAATGAAGAAACAAACAAAAGAACCAGGACACGTGCAAAACTTTTTTTTTGTTGTCATTTCCTCTGGAATTCACATCACAAATGTTCTATAAAATTAGAAAAAAAAAAACGTCCATCTGTGTTCCTGTCGCTGGTTCCATTCCCAGCCCTTTGGCACGGAGGGCTTTTCATTTAAAAAATGTTTTTAATTAGTTGCAAAGTACGAAAGGATTAAAAATCATGTGATCGTTAGATTGAAAAAAAAAAGCAAATCTAAATATTTTGGTGAAATTTTACTTTTTTAACATTAAAAAATGGCTAAAAATTTGCCAAAAAAATAAATAAAAGAAATTAAGGCCTATTTTTTAAAGTTTCAATATTAAATTTTTAGAATTTTTAAAATAAGATATTTTTTACTTGACAATCAAGTGTTGAATGAAATCCTCAACGGTGATGGAAAAATGGAAAAAAATAATTTTTTTTGGCGGATGTCGTGACAGTTTTTGTAGCACAGAGTTTAAGACACACCGTTGGCGAATTTTCTCACTTCAACATCTAATTGGCTTCTCTCTAATCACACACATTTAAAAATCACAGCAAACCAACAGAGGGAGTTAAGACAAAGGTGATTAAAAAAAAAAAATCAAAAATCAAACACAACAAATCCAAAAAAAAAAAAAATCAAAATGGCATCAGTCTTTAAGACACACTCTTTAACAAACATGGTGGTGTCCAACTGTTACAGACAACACTGGGCAATAAGAGAGATGGTTGTCGGGTCAAATCCTGGCTGTTTTCACTGTTGGCTGACGTCACGTCACGTCACTCACCTCGAGGTCAGAGAAATTCAAATTTCATATAGAACTTCACATGCAGGGAGAGAGAACCTACACCATCAGCTGTTGCTGGGCGGAGTCAGTGCGTTCACATGACTAGAAACCTCTGATCATGTGACAGTATGTGCTGTTTGCTGTCAGCAAGATAGTCGCTTCCTAAGATTATGACCCAGAAATGATGCATGATTTTAATCCAGTAAAGTCCACTGCAGTATTTGGGTGTACTCAACATATGGTTCTGTTCAATTACAACTCATCTAATTGGTTAGCATGTGTTTTTTTTTTTTTTTTTCTGGATGTGTTTTAGTCTCCGGAACAGATCGGACTCCACTTGGACATGAACCCAAACACTTCCTCTGATCAGGCTGGGAGGGGTTGGGGGTTTGGAGCAGATTCCCGGTGAACGTGTCCAGATCAGATCAGGTCGAGATAAGACGCTCCGTGGACGGTTCCAAACTTGGACGAGTCCAAATTTAATGAGGATCAAAAACTCAGTTCCAAAACAGTTGGCTCCAGGCTGGAGGAGAAGCTGTGAAGGAGTCGACACTGACAGGGTCAGGGATTAGATCCCAATATGTTCTGGATCTGGGCTCTGCTGTGCACCAGACTCATCCAGGCTGGATGAGTCCGTTTCCTGTGTCGTCATGGAAACGCACTGACTGTTCTTACAACTCTGACTTTGGCAAATGGAAGTGTGTGTGTGTGAGTGTGTGGTTTGGCAGGATTTGACGCAGGTTCTCTCTCAGCCCTACTCTTCATCAACATCATGGTCTTCATCATCATTCACATTCACATTTAATTCCCTTCATTATTGACCAAACTTCATAAATAAAGCGAATCCCTCAGGTAGAATATACACGAAGAAGATGATTATCACACCGTAACTGTTGCACAAAAAAAAAATCAAAAATCAAATCAAAAACAAAGAAGAAAAAAAAAATCAACAAACACCAAAAAGAGGAAGTGGATTCTCTTCAACATAAAAGCACTTCCATCGTCCGTGGAGAGTCCGTTGTAGGCGTGGCCATTCTCCTATAAAAGCATCAAGGTGTACAAAGTCTAAACAACGTGTGTGTTCTCTCACAAACATTTGTGTTTTGTTTTTTTTTTGTTTTTTTTTTTGTTTTTCTTGCATTTCTTCATCGTTAAAAAGGCCTGAGTTGAGTTTGTTCCTTCAGACGGAGACGGCGGCGTCCGCCTCCAACCGGAGTCCGACTCCCACCGACGTCCACCGCTGGGACTGACGTGGGTGTGCTTGGTTCACCTCGCTCGCTCTCACGCACACACGTGCACACACACACACACACACACACAGACACACACTTGTGTACTCACACCTTTACATGGGTGGGACAATCATTCCAGAGATCGCTGCGAGGATGAGAAAAAGAGGGAGAAGAAGAAGGAAGAAATGTGAGAAAACTTTTAAACGCAGCCAAATATTTTCATCCTCATAAAAAAAAAAAAAAAAAAAAAAAAATCCCATGTGTATATCAGTGTGTTTTCCCATCTGTGCAGCTGTGTGACGTTCAAACACCCGTGGACAAATAAATCTGTACAAACCCACTGGAGCTCACGTCACGTTAGCTGCTTGTTAGCCGCGGTGCTAGCGCAACATGCAAAGTGCGGGAAACGTTACGTGAAATATACGTGTGTATGTGTGTATGTGTGTGTGTGTGTGTGTGTGTGTGTGTTTGGGTGTGGGTGACGGGAGGATTGCATCACGGCGTGTCTTGTATTTAAACCCTAGGGATGGGTGTCAACATGTGACGAGCAGAGCCCCGCCCTCACACACACACACACACACACACACACACACCAGCTGAGGCTGAGAATCAACAGCCTGATTCACTTTTAAAATTTTAAATCAAACTTTTAATTTTAGCTCAAATTTCTGATGTTTTTTTTTGTTTTTTTTGTTTTGTTTTTTTTTCATCACCTCTGGCCTTCCTGGAATTTGTTCTTCGTCCTAAAGACAACGTCTCTTCCCTGTTCTAAGGACTGAATGTGACTGGAGGAAGACAGCTGTTGTAGAAACATCAAAGGTTTCGCAGCTGTGCTGAGAAAGAACCAGAAATTCCTGACGCTCCTAAAGGCACCGCAGGAACGTGTTTCATAAACAGGAAGTTGTTT